CTCTGCTGGGGGCCTGCCACTGTAGCAACACACAGCACCAGAAACCAGCTCAAAAGCCAGGTGGTCTGTGGCTGCTTTTCAGCACTGGGACATCAGAAAGAAGCCAGTGCATTCCAGTGGCCCTGGCTCTTTTTCGGTGGTCCTGACTTTCATTCTGTCATGGGTATGCCAGGAAGTGTCAGTGGTGTGTTGTGCTAGCGCTGGCACTTACCGCTTTGCTCAAGACGCAGGCTGTGAGGAGTATGCTGTAAAGAAACAATCCTGAAGCAGTGGCTCCTAATGTCCAGAGATACAGGTCTGTGTCTGGGCAGGGCTCTGGATCTGAAATATACCAGATTAAATGTGACATTGGTAAGGAAACTGTCACAATTCATTATCCCTTTTAGGCACTGCCCCTCTGCATAACAGAACTCTCCAAAATGTTGACAGGGCCAAATCCTCCAGTTCATATCCTCAAAAATCCCACTGACCTCAATGGGCGTTTGGCCTGGGTAATTACTGTGTGATTGGCCTTTTCTAGCTCCACACTTACATGCACACATCCATCTCCACACACGCCGCCTCAGACACTGCTCTTACTGCCAAGGATGCACACAGATCATTGACTGTATCACGTCTGCCTTAGCTCTCCAGGTGCTTCTTAAAGAAAAGAGAGCAACTAATGGTGCTCAGAGGTGGAAACTGATTGTAATGGTGACCCTTATTTAGACTCTATGAAGACAAAATAGCAGCACCCTAAACCACACCTCCAAGAATACTGTAGTATATTCAAGGTGCTTTGCTCACCAATGACAAACAGCTGTGTTCCCTTGCCGGTGTTCATGTAATAGGGTGGTGGGAAAAGTCGCTCCATCTTGCATATGTAGAGGCCAGCATCAGCAGCCTGCAGCCCCATGAGAGTGAGGGTCACATTGTTTTGGCTGGGGCTGACCTGACACGGAATGATTTTGTCTGCCATGAACATCTTGTACTCGGTTGTGTATGTTGAAGCACACACCTCGGTGTACTGATGGCCCGTTTGTTTAAGCAGAGTCACTCGGATTTCCTGGGTGTTCCCAATGTGCTTATATCCACACACCAACCTTGCCACTCCTTGCCTGTTGGCTAGCACCACAGCTGGCTGGGTCACTTCCATAGCTGGGAGCAAAGGCAGAGCATGATGAGAAATGAACACAACAAAGAAATGTCCTGCAATAACGTCCAAGCGCTTACTTAACACCTATAAAAGCAAAGAAAGAGATTCCAGGGCTGAAGAACCATCAGCCCTGGCCACAAACTGCTTCTGATGTGAGATTTCCTTTCACTCACAGTTTGTAGATTTTTTTTTCAATGCCTGCATGAATATGTATACTAAAAACCCACCAGAAGAAATTCTGCAGTTTCTAAATGCCCATTGTAATAGTTGATTTGGAGGTCTCAGCTGTTTCTCATTTTTTAAATAGCATATGCTATGAGCTGTGTATCCTTTGTATGACAGCATATTATATGAGCTGTATGTACTGCATATGATAGCATATGATAGCATAGGTCATGTATACTACAGTTTCCTTCTTTAAATAAAGCATTTTAATGAATAAGAAGGCATGAAAGGGACTGCAAATAATAAGGCTTTTATGCATTACAAATTAAAACTGATTGGGGATTGTGGAAGTTTAAACCAAATTTTCTAAAAAGTAGAGAGAAACTCCTAAGCTGACTAAATTTCAACCAGGAACACACTTGATCTTTAAGGTTAACAGCAAAGCTAGTCTGAAGATTATTTTGCACATGTTTTCCAAATGTTTATATCAGGAGGTGGGGAGGAGGAGTTGCCCACATTTCTGTTCTTTGAATCAATTCTACTTGCCACTGGAGTTACATACAATAAATTCTGATAACACACAGCAAACATTTTAAATAAAAATCATAGTAAAAAATCTGCTACACACGTTGATAGCTTTACAGGTTGCAATGTACCATTGCTATTCATAGTTTTCACTTTCTGAATGGAGGGCAGTGGATTTTGCATGAATAAGAACTGCAGGGACTGACCTGTTCCCATGAGCTGGATTCAAGTTTGGATTGTTCTTTGCTAGGGGAGGGTTTATTTAGTCTGTGGCTGCCCATGAAAGAGAGGGGGAAACCAGAAGCTCTTTGTCCACTCAACTTCTATCTCTACAGTAATAATTTCATGCAAAGAATCTTGCTAAAAAAAACCCCAACTCTTTATAACTTCCTGATCTAGACAGGAGTCTTTCCTAGCCCTGCTAGTAACACTACTACTCTGGAATTTTCACCTGTTTTCCCAGAAAAATTGCAATGCATGGTATTGGATGTGCCTATCGAGAATCCCTATACTTTCCCAGCCTGGTGCTATTCAGAGACCCAGCCTCAAATATAGCTTCTCCTTGCTGTACTAAATCACTGTCCTGCAAAGGGGTGAAACCGAGAAAACATAAACACCCCCAGACACCTACAATCTTCTTCAACTACCCACCTCTGGTGATGCCACTGGCTGTGCTGAGGAAGCCAATGGTGGTCAGTAGTAGTAGGAGCATTCCAGCGAAGAAACAGATGATAGAAAGCTGAAGTTGCTCGTTACCGTCTAAAGCCAAGTCTAGCTGGAATTAAATCAGATCTATCATCAGAACTGCAGGGAAAGGGGCAAGACCTTTCAGGACACTGAATCTTGAAATGTTTGAACCCACACAGATTCAGTGTGTATATATATAGCTTTGATCCCAAACACACACACACACACAGTACCCGAAAGTGCATGAGACTTTGTTTTGGTTTTACAAGAAGGGAAGTGGTGGGTTTGATTAATACGTGCTGCGTTAACCTCAAACAGCTATGAACAAAACAACGATTCGGCAAATGGAAAATGTATTCAATCCGAAATCTGTCATGCGTTATACTTTAAAAATTGGGGGAGGAAAGATAATGAAAGAATAGATCAGCCTCTTTGCCAATGCAGATTTGAAATATTCAGAGTTCCTGAAATCACCCAATATTTCCTTTTAAGGAAAATACCTTTTAAGAACCTACCTTTTCAATCTATCTGTTTAAGATTGTATAAGCTTTGAAAATCATCTGGTGCTTTTATGTGAGAATCTGTGAAATCCCTAGAAAAGCCATTGTGGGTCATTGACTGAAGAGATTTTGAAGCATTAAGTTCTTCACCTCATTAAGTTCTTATACAATGTGCCTAAAGGTATATGAATGGACCATCACTGATTCAAAGGCTGATGAAAAATACTGTAATTTTTTTATTAAGATCATAGGTGACAGCAACTCCAAAGGAGTGGCAATAGTTGGGTAAATATTTTAATTTAAAATAATAGGAATAGCCATACATGCAGCAGACAGCTTTTATTCCTGTGTAACGTAGGTGGGACTTCACCCATTAAGCAACAATGATAGAATGAAGAGAGCCATAAATTTCTCTCACCCAGGAGCCTGCAATAAATACAAATAGTGTATAGCAACTTTAAAATTGTGACAATGACAGTTTGGGCCTGTATCATGCTGTGAGTTGGACAAGTTAAAATCACCTCACAAATAAATTCTGTCCTGTTATCGAGTACCATAGCATAACTGAGCTTTGCGAGGTGAATTAGTGACCCATTCTTGACTCTGAGTTATCCAGAGTAAAGATAGAAATATGAACAGCATTTGTAGCTTGGACTTTGCACACAGTTCAGGGAATGATGTCATTTAGCCATTGTCAACTGTCATTTAATTTGCTGGTGATTGATGGGGACTGCATAGTGTGTTTGCAGTTCACTGGTATGTTTTTTTGGGGGGCGGAGGGGGAGTGCATTACAAAACTCAACTCTCATTGCCCCAAGCACCTATCCTCATTTGAGATCTTGCTACAAGTAGACTGAGAGTGGGACTGCTGTGGCTATGGGGAATGTTCTGTGTAATGCCCCTCTTCCCTCTGACTGGAGCTCACAGAGAGCTCACCAGAGGTGGGGAGAGCTTGCCCCTCCTCCAGCCTGTGTGTCAGCCCTCAGGGAGAGGGCCCTGGTGCTACCTGATCAGGCAGTTGATTTGAGCTGATAAGCCTTGTACAGGGCAGGCATGGAAGGGTTGGTCTACACAACAATAAACCGCTCACAGCACTTGGTCTGTGAAACTGCAGTGCAGACGGAGTCCAAACGCTGGGACCACATGATAGTGAGGATACCAGAGCCCAGGCTCCAGCCCAAGGCCAAATGTCTGCACTGTAGTTTTATAGATTTGCAGCCCAAGCCCCGGGCAGCTGAACACAGGCCAGCTGTAGGTACAGACCTTAGGGATCTAGGACTGCTCCATCCACCCCATTGTCTCATAGAAACACCAAGTCCCCTGATCCAGGATGGGCTAATCCATCAGCCCCAAGTCCCTCGCATCACAAATTTCTCCCTTATCTTGTCTTCACTGCCATGTTTCCATGGTCACCCTTTGTTTTCTCCACACTTCACCACACCGCCTGCATCATCCCTTAGTCTCTCCTCTCCCATGCCTGAGCTCCCTCCCCACCTCTCATTCCCATCTCCCTGTTGGTCCCCACCCTCCAATTTCTGTTCTGCTCATGCTCCGGTGCCCCCTGCACTCATCCCTCCCTCTGAATTCCCCCCACATCCACATTTGTCCTCTGCAATCTCCCTCTTGACACTTCCATTCCACCCACAGACACATGGCCAGTCAAAGTGGGGAGAGGAAATAAGAGGAGGAAACTGCTTCTGTGAGTTTAATGGGACTGCACATCTTTCTAGACTGGCTGCCTGGTTGTATTACTGGAGCCCCTGTTCTTTCTCCTCCCATGTTTCTCTTCACATAGTCTCTCACCTACTGGCCCTAATTCTCAGTTGCTCTGTTCCAGCACAGGAACGGGGCTGGGGGTGAAAGAGGTAGTGACGGTGTCATTAAGTCCCTATGTGTTTCCACATTGTCTTCAAACACAGCAAGGAATCTGCCTGACCCTCTGTTTTCAATTAGAGCCACTGTAGGCCTCAATGCACAGTGGGCTCCAGCCCTCAACCCTCCCTCACCTCAGAAATCTCCCTTCCCTGCCCCTGGACCACCACTCCCTCTGCCAGTGATGTGGGGCACAGGGGCCAAGGTGCTAACCTTGCTTGTGATGCCTTTGAGCAAAATGACTCTGCAGCTTGAGCTCAAACTGTGAGCTTTTGCAGACCCTTCTGCCTGTAGACCAAGGGCAAAAAGGGAGGCATAAGTCATACTGGACAATGGGCAACACAGCTGCAATTAGGCATGTGAGGATGAGCTAGGTAGCTAGGTTCCTTGATTAATTGCAAAGAGCTGTGTCATTTTGGGTTGAGATCTGACCCTGGAAGTTATTTCACCTGATTTTCTTTTGTTTAATAACTAACGAGGACAAATTCTGCAGCTTCCGTTGAATCAGAATTCCTGTTACAAACTCTTACTGTCACACTCCAACTCATCTGATGAAGTGGGTTTTGCCCATGAAAGCTCATGGTTCTATATATTTGTTTGTCTCTAAGGTGCCACAGGACTGCTCGGTGTTTATTACTGTTTACAGTAAAAGCTTTGTTATCTGGCACCTGAATATCCAGAAAGCTGGTTAACCGGCATTGCCCCGAGCCACCAAATCCCCTGTCCAGCCAGCCAGCTTGATGTCTCCAGCCGACGCTGGAGCCTCTGACACCAGCACTGCCAGCTGCCATCTTCCTCAGGCACCTCCTTCCCCTTCAGCCTGTCTTGAGCTCTCGGGAGCCGGCTTTGTTGGATGAATCCCAGGCAGCGGGCCTACTTGTCTGCCTGCCACCTATGGCTCTGTGGCTCTGGGGAAAGGGGAAAGGTCACTATGCTTTCCCAAAGGAGCAGGGGTTGATCATCATGGTTTCCTCTGGGTATGGGGCAGGAAACAGAGCAATAAGCTTGAGTATCTGGCACATTCCATTAACTCGCAACCCCATTCTCTATGAGTGCTGGAAAACAAAGCTTTTACTGTATTATTATTTCAGAATTAATTTCACACTTTTAAAAGCATCTCAGTCCATCCTAATTCTGTTTTTCTTCTGCATTGACAGGAACTAAAAAAAACCCATTGGGTTGGTGAATAGCTTCAGATGTAATGGGTAGAAGAAAAGTTTAACATTTGCATAGCATCTGGTTTCTGGAGAGCTTCTTAAGCTCAGGCTGTGAGATCATCTCTAATTATTCACGTTTTTAGCATGATTTGTTCACCACAAAACTACTGAGGTTTTGAAATGCACTGTCATTTTAAAAAATAATTCAGACCTCTACATGAAAAGGCTGAAGAAAACATTTTTTGCTTTAAAAAAACAGCAAGTGAAGAAAAAAGGAAGTAGCACATTGGCTGGAAAAATAATTGGGTTATTACCATTAAAGGACTAAAATCTGATTGTAGTGTAAAGCCCTATATATGGCCAACTCGTGTGGCTTGGTCTCTTTCCCATGAGGAACCACAGTTCACATCACAAAACCACTTAATACCGGATGTTTCAGAACTTAGGACTTTCTGTCAGCCTGTAATGTGAAAATAACAACCCGATCCCAGCTGTGTGCCAGGGTCCTCAGTAAAGAAGCGCCTTTGTCTTGCAATGTAGGCAACACAACTGACAAAAATCTTTTTTTCTCAACATTTGTCAGTGGGCACCGGGAAACACCTCTTGTATATTGCAGGGGGATATCGATCAATGGGCAGGAATGTTTTACTGCTTTTGAGGGAGTTGCCAGGGAGGGGTCTGTACTCCTCTGGGGGGAGAGAGGGAGCAAACTCCTTCTGTCCCAAGGCCCAGTGACAATCCCCTGCCAATTATTGAGGGTTGCCCCTGCTTGTGCACGCCCCTGCCAATGGATTGCACAAGTATAGCCAGATAAGATTCTCTGTACCCTGCAACGGTAGGTAATTCCTTCTGTAGACCTCACCCTTTTTATTCCCCTCCCCCCCCTTTAAATCCACCGCTGGATGCCACTCTTTACTAGGAGTCTAAGGTATTCATGGATAAACTAACATGGAGAATGAATCATCTCTTCATGCTGGCGACAGCAGTTCAAAGCTGGTACTGAAGGTGCGCAACAGAACATAAATTCTGCCCGCAGCTAGATATCAGCATTATTTGCTATTTGTATTGCAGAAGTGACTGAGATTGCTCATCATGAGCGAAGGCCCCCTCTGTGCTAGGTGCTGTAAAAACACAGAACAAAACAAACAACTGAAAGCCTTGTGTACACTGGCAGCCCTCTGCAGTGGCACTGTGGCACCACTGTAGTCCTTGGACAGGCTACCTATGTCAACAGGAGAGCCCCACCATCACAAAAAAGCAGTAACTGAGCCAATTGGGGAAATTCTTCGATTGATAGAGCATCATGTATACTGGGAGTTAGGTCAGAATAGCTACATCATTCCAGGGAGTGGAAAATCCACATCATTGCACTGACACAAGATGGTAAGTATAAACCAAACCTACAGCTATGTATGCACTTAAGCCACTAGCTCTTCAGTGCTGACACTCACTACCAGTTCTTCTGTTGCTGAAGTAAATCCACCTCCTCAGGCAACAGGAGCGAGATGTTGATGGAAGAATTCTTTCATTCCTAGCGCTGTCTATGCTGAATGTTGGGTTGGCTTAACTATGTCAATCAGAGGGGAGGGTATTTCACACCCCTCAGCA